CATTTCACAGTAAACACAGACAGGACTAGTAATTGTCGTCATGTCACAGTAAACAAAGACAGGACTAGTAATTTTCGTCATGTCACAGTAAACACGGACAGGACTAGTTATTGTAGTCTTGTAACAGTACACACGGACAGGACTAGTAATTGTCGCAGTGTCACGGTTAACACAGACAGGACTAGAAATTCTCGTCTTGTCACAGTTAACACAGACAGGACCAGTAATTGTCGTCATGTCACAGTAAACATAGACAGGAGTAATAATTGTCGTCATCTCACAGTAAACACAGACAGAACTAGTAATTGTCGTCATGTCACAGTTAAAACAGACAGGACCAGTATTTGTCGTCATGTCGCAGTAAACACGGACAGGACTAGATATTGTCGTCATGTCACAGTTAACACAGACAGGCGCAGTAATTGTCGTCATGTCACAGTAAACACAGACAGGACCAGTAATTGTCGTCATATCACAGTAAACACAGACAGGACTAGTAATTGTCGTCATGCCACAGTAAACACAAACAGGACTAGTAATTGTCGTCATGTCCCAGTAAAAACAAACAGGACTAGTAATTCTTGTCATGTCACAGTAAACACAGACAGGACTAGTTATTGTCGTCATGTCACAGTAAACACAGACAGGACTAGTAATTGTCGTCATGACACAGTAAATACAGACAGGAATTGTAATTGTTGTCATGTCACAGTCAACACAGACGGGACTAGTAATTGTCGTCATGTCTCGGTTAACACAGACAGGACTAGAAATTGTCGTCTTGTCACAGTTAACAAAGACAGGACCAGTAATTGTCGTCATGTCACAGTAAACACAGACAGGAGTAATAATTGTCGTCATCTCACCGTGAAAACAGACAGGACTAGTAATTGTCGTCATGTCACAGTTAAAACAGACAGGACCAGTACTTGTCGTCATGTCACAGTAAACACGGACAGGACTAGATATTGTCGTCATGTCACAGTTAACACAGACAGGCCCAGTAATTGTCGTCATGTCACAGTAAACACACACAGGACTAGTAATTGTCGTCATGTCATAGTAAACACAGACAGGACTAGTTATTGTCGTCAGGTCACAGTAAACACGGACAGGACTAGTAGATGTCGTCATGTCACAGTAAACACGGACAGGACAAGTAATTGTCGTCATGTCACAGTAAACACAGACTGCACTTGTAATAATCGTCATGTCACAGTAAACACAGACAGGACTAGTAATTGTCGTCATGTCACAGAAAACACAGAGAGGTCTAGGAATTGTCGTCATGTCACAGTAAACACAGACAGTACTAGTACAGTGCTGCTATCCTATAAGTTGACATTTCTATCCTATCCTATCGTGTATCCTGCATCCACAATCCTATCCTGTGATTTCAGTCTAATCCTATCCTATCCTATCCTGCAACTCTCAGTTTTTAACACTGCATGAAAATTCGGCTTTACAAAACAAGTAAAGATAATGTAAATTTATTATTTACAATGCCTTTAACTGGCTTTTCTGAAAAAAGTCAAAGTTGGAAAAGGTAACCTTTACATTAACTTTACATGCACTTAAATATGATGTAATGTCCCACATTGTCTTGACTTTACAAAAAAGTAAAGTTAATATTTACAACCTTTAAACACCATATTTAGGATGTATTAAATCTGATAATTATAGATCTTAAATTTAATTAAATACCATCTTTAATTACCACAAAAGTTAATAATTTCTGTTTTCCATTCTAGTGAATAAAGCCTTATGCAATTTATAAATAAGATTTTTCTTCCAAGTCGATACTGCGGAAGTCTGGACATCATAATTAATATATACAAAGTAACAAAAAGTTGACTTTAAATTTGTTTATTACAATTTTTTTTTACAAACATAAGATCAAAAACATCAAGATTCTTGACAGTATATGTTGCCCACATCCTATCCTGCAAATTACATACATATCAAAGACAGAGTACATTTCACGAATATGTTTTTCATACGTGACATGTTTTATAATAAAACCAACTGTACATTCTTGAATTTAAAGTTGTGAAACACCATAAAACTATGCTCCTCTTTCTTGTGGATATTGGTTTCAGTGGAAATCAACAACTGTCAAAATGTTTTTATCACACCTCCCTTTTCAGAATCTAAAACTTTTCTTCCCATGCAGGCATTCTTCTAATGCTTTTCCTACAAGAAAAAAAAATAAATCTATAAGTATATTTTCAGTGCTGTGCATAAGTATGAATATTTTCAGAGGCATCTGTTATCAGAATTCACAATACCATGATTAATAAAACTAAAAACAATGCACAACCTAATTAATAAATAAAAAGTTCATACATGACCTTTAACCTTAAAAATAAAAATTGTTTTATTTTAATAAGATGAGTGGACCTCTTATTATTGACATATTATATGAAGAATCAATGGGTTAGGTCATGTATCCCTTATCACAAAAAGCCTAATGCCTAAAATTACAATTTGAGAATTATGTACTTTTTAAGGGTACTTATCACAATCAAAGAATAAATCCCTGAAACATAAAGAAATGATAGGTTTTCCTGACTACTCAGTAGTCAGTTTACAAAAAGAACAAAATAGTGCTACATATTTAGCTCAGGCCATACAAAGTTAATTACTTGGTTCTCAGGCCTTTTTTCAAGAAATATTATAAGGGAGGGAGGCATTTTTTTTTCTTTTTAATTGCCCTCAAAACACGATGAGGCAGCTTTTTACATTGTACAAAACCTCAAAAAATGATGAGTGAGGTGATTTGGTGTTAATGTTTTATTGATTTAGCAATAAAAGGGTCAATGAAGCACCCTTGGAAGAGATGTGGGAGGGCCTGAGAACCAAGAAATTAATTTTTTTTGCCTTAGCTGTACATGTGTACAGAATCATAGTCAGGTTATGGTTTAGGATATATGTACCTTTTTCCCAAATAGCATGTTTCTGCTCATGAACTTTTTCCTGATATGGAACAGTAAAAGGACTTTAGGTGAGAGTCCCTCAAATTTAAGATGACAATCATGCTGAAACAGAATTCATTCAGTGATTAACATTTTATACACCTAGACAAATATATAGTCAATATTTTTATTAAAAATTATGAGTTTGAAGCACACAGTCACCAAAGAATGAATTGATTTTGAAAATTCATACACAATGCAATCACAGTTAATAGCTATGAACTGCGAAACACCCTTTTTTTATCAAGAATACTTTAAAATTAAATCTAAACAATACTTGCCATCTATAATATGAAACTTGAGAACCCGCCTCTTCTTCATGGCAGATCTTTTAATTTTCTCATGGTAGGCTGAGTAGCTTGAGCCTATACAAAAGAAATTGAACATTTTATACGAATACATCTGACAATGATGACTCCTGAGCAAGTCAAGCATTAAATAATGTAAATGTTTGTTCAAGTAATATTTCATGATACTTATTATTTAATTTTTTAAAAATGTGCTTGTACCAAAGAACATTGGGATCCTCAATCATGTTTTGTCGTCTTCCTCGCCCCGTCTGGATGTTTTCCCTTCAATAATCTGTATACTGATTTCACTCAACCTGTATTTTAACAAAATGGACACAATGAATTAAAATACAAAATGTTATAAATAAAACAAACTTATTTGTCAATTTTGGAGTTGAAACTCTCAGCCAAGGTATAATTACATCTGTAACTAAGTTTTATGACAACTGATTGTGTAGATTTTCAGTAATTAGCAAAAACCCAGTTTTCAGTTTCAAATTCCCGGCCCGGCTCGGCTTTAACTACTCATTTTAGTCCCACTTTTCTTTGTCTTGTTTAACATTCCAGAGACATACACCTTTACAGAATAAACTGAAACCCATAAACATTTAATCCCCAAATTATCAAAATACTAATCTAACATTCTGGCAGTAAATAACATATACAGCGAAGTTTTGCTTGACTTTCATTGTTTCACTACATGTATGCACAATGTACTGATCTATGCTGAAAGTGAAAACGGCTGGAAATCGTAAACAAACCTGCAGTGCATGCCAATTCGGGAGTTCGAGCAGTTGTCAAGACAAGAATCTCCTGAAATCTAGACGAGGTTTCAAAAAATTACCACAGGTTGCAAACTTCGTCAAAATAGCGATGCAGACCCGCTCCACTTGATTTGAAATGATTGGCTATTCAACCAAATACACAGTGCCATATTTGGTATGGGTTACTTATCAGAGTAGATCGTTCGTTTTACATTCGAGAAGAGTTTACATATTACTTGAATGAAGAGGATAACATAATACTGAGCTGAAAATTGTGTGTAAAGTATGTTTTAGTAGTTTACAATACAGACTGTAAATGTGCGGGAGATTTTATTGATATTTAAGCTTGAAAACAAAACAAATAAACGTAGGACTTATTCACGGCAATGTATGGGAACCAGTCTAAAAGGCAAAGAAAATTCCGCCAAGTAAACAACAAAGAAAGGGATTTGGGATGTTGTCAGTTCACAGTTGTATGTGTACATTATGTGCGACGGTGACTGCAAGGTAATACATGTGTCTTATTTGTTGCGAATAATTCGTTTCATTTTATTATGGAAATTTATCTGTCCCAACACTAGCAGAAATATATAATTAATCTGACTTCGAAATTCCTTCCTCTCTGTTCCCCCAAGTACATGTAACACTCTTCGCTCTCATTTTTTTTAATTTTCATTGTATATTTTTTTGTAGAAAAAAAGGAATGTGGAGCTAATGCATGCTGCTAAGGATGGAAAGGTCTTGTGTTTATTGGTTGTGCCTAAGTAACCAGTCATAGGTGTACCTTATTTCAATTTTAGGTAATGTCTTTTGAGTTTTTTTTAAGTAGAGTGAACAATGCATTTTTCATTCAATATAAATGTAAAATTCTAGAGATAATTTTTTTCAACATTGCTGGATACTCACTACGTGATTTTATCTAAAAAAGTATTTAAATTATTTTCTCACATTTTTTAAAGAGGCCGGGTATGGTGAAGAGATAATTCATTTTTTATTCAAAATTTTATTTTCCATGCATTTGTACAGGGAGTCTATATACATTTGAGGTGAGCGGCAGATTTAATTTTGAAGATGGGTGACTTTCAGATGTTGTGATGAAGATTGTTGAAAGGGATTATCTACATAGAACCAGTCCATATGAATGTGCAAGTCAGGTGAGGATTGGACTTAAATGTGTAATCAAGAAATGTTTATACATAATGTGCGATGGTGACTGCAAGGTAATACATGTGTCTTATTTGTTACGAATAATTCATTTCATTTTATTATGGAAATTTATCCGTCCCAACACTGGCAGAAATATAATAGTTAATCTGACTTCAAAATTCCTTCCTCTGTTCCCCCAAGTACATGTAACACTCTTCGCTCTCATTTTTTAAAATTTTCATTGTACATTTTTTGTAGAAACAAGGAATGTGGAGCTAATGCATGCTGCTTAGGATGGAAAGGTCTTGTGTTTATTGGTTGTGCCTGAGACACCAGTCACAGTTGTACCTTACTTCCATTTTAGGTAATGTCTTTTGAGTTTTTTTAAGTAAAGGGAACAATGCATTTTTCATTCAATATAAATGTAAAATTCTAGAGATAACTTTTTTTCAACGTTGCTGGATACTCACTACATGATTTTATCTAAAGAAAAGTATTCAAATTATTTTCTCACATTTTTTAAAGAGGCCGGGTATGGTGAAGAGATAATTCATTTTTTATTCAAAATTTTATTTTCCATGCATTTGTACAGGGAGTCTATACATTTGAGGTGAGCGGCAGATTTAATTTTGAAGATGGGTGACTTTCAGATGTTGTGATGAAGATTGTTGAAAGGAATTATCAGCATAGAACCAATCCATATGAATGTGCAAGTCAGGTGAGGATTGGGCCTAAAAAAAATTTTGTTTGTTTCCTGTAACCCGACCGACCCATTCAAATTATGCCTGGGTGGATTTTTTTCCCTGACAAATGGCAAAACTTTGTTTGATCAATCAGCTGATTCCATTTATTAAATTAAAATAATAGCTTGTAGCTTAATTTGAGACATAAAATATGTCAACCTAGTTTACGTTTACCTTAAATATAAAGAATAATCATTATTGTAACAACAGTTTCCCCCTACAACTTTCTGAAGTTTGTTTTCTGCCGCCAGGCAGCCATTTTGGATGCCATGTTGGGTGTCCACTGTAAGTATAACACCTGGTATTTTCAGTCTGGGGATGTTTCACCATTCATAAGCAAAAAAAAAAAAAAAAAAATTCCGACCTACCGACCCTTGATTTTTTGGGAATGTTACAGGAAACAAACTTATTTTTTTTTTTTAAGCCTTGGACTTCAACGTGTAATCAAGAAATGTTTATATATTACTTAGCTTAGTGAAAGCACACCACAAACATTTTAAGTATCTCAGTAAGTTTCATGGATATTACAGATGTATCACAATCATATGTTTGACATTGAGTCGCATTGTCTAAATTTCCATTATGTTAAGTTATACATGTTTTAGGTTAAAGCTTGTGCTTTAATTTCAATAGAAGTAATGAAAATCTTTTTAAAATTGTATTGTTTTTCTTTATAATTTTGAAAACGATTTTTTTAGGACTTGTACAGCAGCTGAGTACCTAGATGACTGTTGAACTAATTGGTGAGCAAGAAAAGATGTCAGAGAGGGGAAACCAATTCAGATGTCATGATCAAGAATATATACTCTTATCAATGATATGATCAAGAATATGTAAACTTGTAATGATTTAAAATATCTTATAGATCTGTAAATCACTCTTAATTACTTAATTGTTCACACATTATCATCTACACTTATGCTATAAATCTTATCTGTATATTAATCGCCCCCTCTTATCTAACCCCCTGCTGATCGTAATGACCTGTGTATTGACTCCTGATCTTAAGGATCTTGTAATGTGCTCCTGATCGTCAGGAACAGATCTTGAGTATATATATAGTGCAACAGAATTTTAGAATAAGATAGGAAGATTGAAATATAGAAGACTTAGTAGATAGAACTGTTAGAGATAGATAAAGTTACTCACTTACTTGGACTATTACCTAATATTTCTTTGATTTATATGTACATGTGATTGTTTTACTTGGATTTTATTTTTTGTGAATTATTTTTCCTGAATGTTTCTATTTGTGATGTGCTGTGTAAGTAAACTGTAGACTAGAATTTCGGCATCTATTTTCAAGATATGAGGAACAAGGATAAATTAATTTATTCATGCAAACTGACATTATGAAATGTGTTGTAAGACCGCTCGGTGCGGCGCTACAAACTAACTAGGAAATATCTTGGAGATTTATAGATGAACATGCAAGCATTCATGATTTTGAATGTTATTCAGCCAGAGAGTTTTTACACAAATTTAATTTTCAGTACAGTAATTTAAACTGGATGTGTAATTTTCAGTACAGTTATGTAAAATGAATATATGTTACTTATTATGATTGTCAATTTTCAACAGGACATAATTGTAGTTTATTTATACGATCACTCTTGCAGAACAAAACACACAGAACTTTTTTTCTCTGTGTGCATCATACACTTGTAAACGTTTTACACCATCATGTATACATATTTTACATCGATGACATGTAAATCGAGCACACACATGAAAATGCGTATATCTGAATACATGCAAACATGCATCTACCATAACCTATTACATATTTTCCAAGGTGTGTGAAGTCGAGCACATACATGAAAATGTGTGAAGCTGGACACATACACAAATACACATGCATCTGCCACAACCTATTACATATTTTCCCAGGTGTGTGAAGTCGAGCACATACATGAAAATGTGTGAAGCTGGACACATACACAAATACACATGCATCTGCCACAACCTATTACATATTTTCCAAGGCGTGTGAAGTCGAGCACATACATGAAAATGTGTGAAGCTGGACACATATGCGAACACACTAACATATATCACAGACATAAAAACATAATCTAAACTAAGTCAAGCACAGACAGGCTCACTAGGTGAAGCTGGACTCATACATGATCTCATGCATTTTGCAAACTGCATCCTCACATATATTCTAATAGATTTTTCACCATTTTTTGTGTTTGTGAATATGTAAAATGCATCATTTTGCATTACAAGTTGAGGATGTTATTAGGCTGTACATAAGCGCAAATCAAATAGCCTTTTATGTAATTTTTTTCACATTTTTAATTCAATTTAAACTGCAAAGTTTATTTTATATATGTACATGCACCATAAAGAATGAATAATATTGTACCGGTATTATATTTTAAGTGAAATGGGACCTCCATTTCATAAGCAGAAATGTGAAATTTATACTTATCATCTGTATTTATTTTTAATTTTGTCTCACATGTATCTGAATGTTTAAAGGAAAACAAAAGTCAAAGATAGCTCAATATAATGTTAATATTCAAGGTTATAACTGGATATTGTTTGTGCTGTATATCTGACTCATCATATGATGAGAAGCCAAAATGTAGAATATTTTTGTTTGGAAAATGAAAATTATCAATATGCCAATTTTTCCCATTGTTATATTATTAATTAATATATCATTAATATCAATGTACATATAAAAAATCTATGCCATCCAATCCAGAGAGTTGTAGGCAATCCTGGTGCAGATAATATTTTTTTCTCGTGTTTTGTAGTAGAGTGGGAACACATTGTATGGGTTGAATGTATAAATGGTTTTGGTTGTATATGTTGGCATGGCCAAAGGAAGGCCAATGAGAAATGAGTATTCATTAATGTGTTCAAATCATTCTAAGCCAGTGCTCTTCAATACATACGCATTTTTTTTTTGCTTTATATATAAAATATATATCATATTTGTATAAATATATATAATGGTAATGGAAATAACAAATTGTTGAAATGTATTTTAATTTGGATTTTTTCATACTTGCAAATATTATAGGGTGTTCATGCATTTTTAACTATTGCACTGAATGCACGTCCGGCATTCTCCCTTGAGACATTATTTACATAGCGACGGACACAGGTTTTCCATAGTTAACCATCTATGGTTTTTGCCTGGGCGGTTTTTAATGTCTGTGATAGGGATATAATTTATTACAAGTAGAATATTTTACAAATGCATTCCATTGCTTTATTGTTTCACATTCAATGTAATGTAAGTTAAATATGTATCAAAATAAATGCCAGCTGCTCCAACTAAGCTAACCTGGCTTACAGCATAGTTGTTGTATTATTTGAGGTGTAGTCTGTCAAATAATGATGAGTCGAGTGTTTGATTCTGTAGATGACCATTTCTAATACTAATTTCAACTGGAAATGGATACAAGATAATTTAAAAAGATATCTTTGACATTTGTCTTAAAATTCTGGGTACTGACTAGATTAGATTCTTTAAACCAACTGTAAAAATCCAAAGTATAAGTGTATTAAACAATAGTCAGCATTTAAATAAGACTTTTATAAAATATGTATATTTAATGAACTTTAATATGGCATTAAAGGTGAAAGGTTATATTTAATTATCTTTTCGTGTAAGTAAAGGTTACCTTTTCACCTTTACTTTTTGTAAAGTTATACAAAGATGACCTTGCTTTTTGGAGCACCTTTAATGAAATTTACTTCGCAAGTAAAGTTTTGTAAAGGTGTTTTTTCAAGCAGTGTAAATATTTAGGAATTAACTTGACAAAACGAAAAAAAAGGAATAACCAGCAGAAAAAAAAATTCAGATATAATTATGGTACTCATTTAAATGTTATATATTTTAATGGAGAAAAATAATTGAGATCGGCATTCCATAATTCTCGACTCACCGCACAAATTAAATTTACGATTATCATTACCATATGTTAAAAATTAATGTAAACAAACAGATCGTAATTAAATGTGGGCACGTACTGATTTTGCAAACATATGTAAAGAAATTGGGCTTCCAGAAGAATTAAGGAAAAAAAATATAATTAGCGTTTTAATTTCCCTACTAACAATGATTGGGAGACCCGGGATCGTGACTTTGCGTCCGGCGTGTTATAATCAATTATTTTTTAAAAATCATAGGCCTGTATGGTAATAATGTTAAAGTATGTTTCATGTAAAATTTTATTTTTTCCTTAACTGAGCACCATGAAAATATCATGCATGTACATGTATAGTTAACTGAGCACCATGAAAATATCATGCATGTACATGTATAGTCTAATTGTTCCTGTATAACAGGTTTTTCTGTATGCAATTCTAAAAAAGAAGATATGACTAGACCATAAACCAAACAGACAAGTCAAAATGTAGATCTAGAATATCTTGACTTTCACATATTAAACATTTTAAATGTGAAATTGTTATGATT